TGCTAGAAATGTATTATAAGAATACAGAACTTTATTGTAAGTGTATTTAAGTATCCATTGCAACATAAGTTTAGGATTGGAAAAAACAATAAAAGCAAACTACTTGCGTGCATACTCAGTCATGCCCAACTCTTTGTGACCCCATGGACTATACACCACCAGGCTGCTCTGTCCATGGGATTATCTGAGCAAGAACACTGGAGTGGACTGCCATTCCTTCTCCAGGGGCTCTTCTCCACCCAGGGGTCAAACCTAGGTCTTTTCTGTCTCCTGCATTGGCAGGCAGATTCCTTACTGCTGTTCCACTTGGGAAGCAGAAACAACCTAAAGCTCAGTAGGGAACTAGTTAATAGGCTATGGTAGATCTGTATGATCTATATGTACAAAAATTTGATGAAATATTGATTTCCAAGATAAGCTGTTTACTAAAAAAAAAAAATTGTATTGGGACTTCCTTGGTGGCTCAGTGGCTAAGATTGCCTCCCAGTGCAGCGGGTGGATTCAATCCCTTGGTTGGGAAACAAAGACAAGAAACACCACACAGCACAACCAGATAAGTAAGAGACATAATCTATAAAGCACTCATAGTTTTATAAAAAAAGTACATATATACATATGTGCTTGTATAAACATGGAAATTATGAATGCATACATAAATAGTTGTATCTTTGAAGGAGAAAGGATATAAGGACTCATTAACTTTCATGAATATTTCTTTTTAATTTTAAAAGTCTTTTCTCAAATTTTTCAAGTATAAAGAAAAATTTATTAGAACAAGTATATTTTCTATACACAAAATTTCACCAAGCTCAATAATTAATTGAATCATACCATGCTGATCTAATTTAAACTGTGAGATTTTTATATACATGCAACAAATGATTGCCAAAACATTTAAGTTCTAAGAGAACAAAAGGCAAATTAAACTTTTTTATAATTAAATTTATTTTCAGCTGAAAAATAATTGCCTTACAGTATTGTGTTGGTTTCTGCCCAACATCAACGTGAATCAGTCATATTGAAGCTTAATTGATTAACAGTATAAAGTGTGTTTCAGGTATATAGTACAGTGACTCACTTATATATGTATATAAATATATATATAGCATATATATTCTTTTTTAAGTTATCCTCCATTATAAGTTATTACAAGATATGAAGTATACCCCCTTGTGGTGTAGAGTAGTTCCTTGTTGTTTACTTATTTTATATACTAGAGAAGGAAATGGCAACCCACTGCAGTATTCTCGCCTGGAAAACCCCAGGGACAGAGGAACCTAGTCCACGGGGTCGCAAAGAGTTGGACACGACTGAGTGACTTCACTTTCACTTTATGTACAGTAGTGTAGATCCGTTACACACAATCTTCTTTGGTAACCATATGTTTGTTCTCCATGTCTGTGAGTTTAATTCTATGTTGTAAGTGAGCTCAGAGGTAAACAACAGTCCTAGTAACTGGAACAGTCTTCCTGGCAAAAGCGACCACAGTCACGTTGTTGTTTAGTTGCTAAGTTGTGTCCAAATCTTTTGCAACCCCATGGATTGTAGCCGCCAAGCTTCTCTGTCCATGGGATTCTCCAGGCAAGAATACTAGAGTGGGTTGCCATTTCCTCCTCCAAGGGATCTTCCCGACCTTGGGATCAAACTCACGTCTCTTGCATTGGCAAGCAGGTTCTTTACCACTGAGCCATTAGGGAAGCTCCGACCGTCATCATACACATATATACATGTGCACACACACACACACACACATACATCCTACAGCAGGGGACCTGTTGATCACTCCTGTGTGAAATAGGTTAGACCAAGAATGATTCTCCAAAGGAATCTTTATCCTAATTGAGAGGAATCCTCTTGCTCACGCCCATGGGGTCTAGAGTGGGTATTTTATTCAAGTTTATAACCCTATCTAGTTATCATTCTCCATAAGGATGCTACCAATTTGTCATTTGTGAAATTTCCTCTCTCAACTGCATATCTAATATACCTGTAGTGCCCTCCAAGGATGCTTTTATATGGATCCTGGCATTCTTATCCTGCAGAACACAGAGGACTGTCCCTAGGGAACTGCCCTTAGTAACTTCCAGTTCCTTCTCCACGGAAGTGTTCCTGCACATCCCTAATTCTTGTGGTCCAAGTACATTTCTCCCAGTTGACATAAAGGCTTATAGCAATTTGTTGGTCACTGATGTCCCCTATGAGTGTCCAGGGAATGTCTATGTCAGCATCCTTGAATACATGCATATTTTTCTCTGCAATTATGCAGCATAATGTGATAGCTAACAGATAGAATCTGGAGCCAATAAATCTGAGTTTGATTCCTGGCTCTTCCATTTACTGACTGTAACTTAAGGCAGCATATTAATCTCTTTGTATCTCGGCTTCCCCATCTGTAAAGGAAAAATTAAAAATAGCACATACATATAGAATAGTTTATTAGAGTTTAATTATACTTGTCAGGCTCTTTCACCAGTGTAGGCCAAAATTGGGGCTCAATAAATATTAGTTTTCCGAGCACTCATAAAACTGTGAAATGAAAATGTTGTAACAACATTTTAAGTGATGAGAAGGGGGCAGAATTTTCCATCTCTTCAATCAAGGATGTACTTGTGCCTTCAGCTTTAACAAAACTGTGAGAACAGGATGTCAAGGTTAGGTATAAAGAAATAAGTGCCCACTTCCCCCACCCTCAAGGCCTGCCCCAGGGCTATAAAGCGTCCCTGCCATCTGCCACTTCCACAGGTTATGACTTTGGAAGGTGCCTGCCAGAAGGTAAATTTGAAGTCTGGGAGACACAATCCATGAAATCATTTATACTAATTAACCCTTTAGCTCCAATTAACTGAGCAGACTGGCTCTCTCTTCATCCTCACATCTGTCCATTTGAAAAGCCATGGTTATGGGTCCAACACATACCTGGCTCTGGGATGCAGACAGCAACTCGAGATGGGGGCACAGGAGCTTTCCTGGTGGTCCAGTGGTTAAGACTCAGCGCTTCCCACTCAGGGGGACACAGGGTCAGCCCCTTGTCGGGGAACTGGATCCCACATGCCATGTGGTGTTGCCAAAAAGCTCTTTTTTTCTTAATGTGGAAGGATGGGAACACAGTTTCTACAATTTCAGAAAACATACAATAGATTTGAGTCATGGCATATGGAAATCAGAGGATTCAGAATATAGGATATCGTAGAGGGGAGGGGGCTGGTATAAAAAGGAGATGGTATTAATGAATCCATGAGGACAGGACTAGAAGGAAACTCAAAAAAAAAAATTCTTATTTAAAATTTTGAATTGAACTGTCCCTAAGTGAGTCTACAGATTATCAGATACAGATTATCTACCCATAAAATTCTGGATTCCTAAAATATGGAAATTAACAACACACAAAGCAAAATGGTCATTATGTTACACTACTTCCATAAATCTGAGAAGAGCAGAGATAAAGAAAGAGAAAGGCTGGAAATATGAGTGAACATCAGCAGGAGAGACCTTAGGATGTTAATAAATGATGGACTGAGGAAATAGAGAGGTCAGGCATCCTTTATACGTGCAGAAATTTTCTGGTTTGTATTTGGGCACAACTTAACAAAGAGATCTCTAAAAATGTCTGTAGCGACAACTGGCACAGGCGTGCCACTATAAACTGTGCTTCCATGCGGTGTCTCTTCCCTGAAACAACCCTATGATGCTCAGTACTGCCACTGAAAAGGGAACTGAGTCTCAGAGAAGTTAAACTGCTAGCTCCAGGTCACGCAGCTAAAGTAGGAACCTTGAACCCCGTTGCTCTGTTTTCAATCCAGTGTTCTTTCCTCTGCATCAGCCTCTTTACTCCCTAAATGGAGGTGAAGGGCATTGCTGATATATTCTTTCAAAGTTCTCCTATAAGTTATGCAACTGGGTAAAAATTCACAATTCTATCAAAACAATGCCCTTTAATCAAGATGGCAACCCAAATACGTTTGTTTGTTGTGAGCCTTTTTTCTCTCCCGACACTAAGATTCTTTAGGAGAGAGGCTCCAGTAAGAGCAACCACCCAGTCAAGGGATAAAAGATGCACGAACTGTTATTCCACACACACACACACACACACACAAAGATGAGTGAACTGTTACTACACATACACACAGAGATGCATGAATTGTTATTCCACACACACACACACACACAAAGATGAGTGAACTGTTACTACACATACACACAGAGATGCATGAATTGTTATTCCACACACACACAAAGATGCATGAACTGTTATTACACACACACACACACACACACACAGATGCATGAACTGTTATTCCACACACACACACAAAGATGCATGAACTGTTTTTACACACACACACACAGATGCATGAATTGTTGTTCCACATACACACCCCCACACACAAAGATGCATGAACTGTTATTACACACACACACACACACATATAGAGATGCATAAATTGCTGTTCCACATACACACACACCCCCACACACAAAGATGCACAAACTGTTACACACACAAAAAAAAATGCATGAATTGCTGTTACACACACACACACACACACACACAGACGCATGAACTGTTATTCCACACACACATGTGCACACACACACAGATACATGAATTGTTATCCACACACACACACACCCCCCCATCCACACTTCCTCTTCCCCTCTCCATTCACCAGGCAAGGCCAGGTTGATCTACATCTGACGCCTTGGTCACATTTCTTTGGAGGTGTAAACGGTGACGCTAGTACCAGCTGTTCCGAGCAGCTGCGGAAAACCATGAACCCAGATTGCTCATTACACCTTTAGAGACGACGGCGGTCAGTCTGCTGGCCACTATATACATATAATGGGTAATAATGGTGATGGGACATGATAAAAATAAGAGAGGCTGAAGGAGTGAAAAATAGCTGCAGAAAAAAATTCTCCTGATTTCACATTCCTTGTCCATAAAGGCCTTCAATTAAAAAAAAAAAAAAAAGCTTCAGAACCAAGTATCCCAGCACTCCTCAGTCAGAAGCCTGGCCGCTCCTCACTGACGACGTTGTTGTACACAGCAAAGGGCAAATTTCACTGGGGGCAAAGGAGCAGGTGAAAGAGCAGCTCTGGGGGAAGCTCAGAAAACCTGAAAGCAGCTGCCTTTCTACCGCTGGGAACTTATCTGCAACACCCAGGACGCATGTCAGGGCGGGGGGGCCCTGCTGGGACCCACCCCCCAGGACAGGACTGCCGTCGGTGAGGGGGAGGGCGTTGCCTTTCTGCAGAAGGACCTTGAAGGAAGAATTTGCTGCCAGCCAGAAGCCCTCGGTCTCCGGAGCTGCTCCAAGTGCAGCCTGAATCGCCAGGACAAATCCTGCCGCTTTGCTCTTTCTAAAAAAAGCGCAAGGGGAGAGCCTGGCGAGCGAGAGCAGCCCCCGCTCGGCAGGTTGCTCTGCCCCTGAAAATGTGAATGCTTTTAATGTCAACGTGGAGGCTCCTGTTTGAAATTCAATGGGGAGCTAAAATTACTGTAAGCCTGCTTAGGAATGTCAGACGAATGTTCATCATATCCGAGAGAGTGTTTGTGCAACGGGCAGATGATGGCAATGGAAACTGGAAGGCTTATGCTGATAAGCACAGGAAAAAAGCTTTTTTTTTCTTTTCTTTGAGCAATGAAAGCAAGTACTTGAAGTTATTAGTGAAAAAAGAATATAATTTGTGTAAGAACTTGTAAGAAGAATAGGTGTGCTTCTTGCTAAGAAAACCGAAAGCCTATGAAAAAAGTAAAGATCACATGTAAAGTCCTTATGTGATTACATAAAAATTTGACAGTTTGATTTGGGGAGGAGAGTATTTTTGGAAAATTGAAAAAAAACAAAACCCCAAGTCTCCACCTCTCCCTGTCTGCATGTGCCATAAAATCGGACCTGTATCTCCTCCTTGAGATTTGGCATCTGTTTTCCCCGCCCTTTGAACCGGGCTGACTCTCTGACTCGCTCTGACCAGTCATCCACCAGGTCATGTCCGACTCTTCGTGGCCCCAAGGACTGCAGCTGCCAGGCTCTGCTGTCTCGCCAGCTCCTGGAGTTTGCCCAAGTTCATGTCCGTCGAATCAGTGATGCCATCCAACCATCTCATCCTCTGTTGTCCCCTTCTCCTCCTGCCTTCAATCTTTCCCAGCATTAGCATCTTTTCTAATAAGTAACCTGTTCACATCAGATGGCCTAAATATTGGAGCTTCATCATCAGTCCTTCCGAAGAGTATTAAGGGCTGATCTCCTTTAGGATGGACTGGTTGGATCTCCTTGCAGTCCAAGGGACTCTCAAGAGTCTGCTCCAACACCACAGTTTGAAAACATCAGTTCTTCAGTGTCCTGCCTTCTTTATTGTCCAGCTCTCACATCCGTACATGACTACTGAAAAGACCATAGCCTTGACTAGATGGACCTTTGTCAGCAAAGTGATGCCTTTGCTTTTTAGCACACTGTCTAAGCTTGTCATAGCTTTCCTGCCAAGAAGCAAACGTTTAATTTCATGGCTGCAGTCACCATCCACAGTGATTCTGAGCCCAAAAGAGGAAATCTGTCACTGCTTCCACCTTTTCACTTTCTATTTTCCATGAAGTGATGGGACCAGATGCCATGATCTTAGTTTTTCTAAGGTTTAGTTTTATTAAGAGATCTTAGTTTTATTGAGTTTTAAGCCATCTTTTTCCATCAAAAGAGGGACTGGCAAACCACTCCAGTATACTAGCCGTGAGAACACCATAAACTGTACAGAAAGGCAATAGAAGTGACTATGACAATTCTGAGCCCAGGCCCCAAGAGACCTTGTGCGTGTTCATAGTATCTCTTGAAATATCTCCACTGGAGCCAGAAAGACCTTAGGATGCCTGCTGGGTGATACCCAACAGAGTTGAGTCACCCCAGCTCCTAGGCCAGCCAGCTCCCAGGCCAAGAGATCAAAAGTACAGGACCAACCAGGGTCTGCTGTTGTCAGCTGAGCCCGGCTCGGATGAGCAGAAGTGCCCAGGTCTTTGGGAAGCAACCCCAGACTTAGAGAAATAATGACTAGTTGGGGTTTTAAGGCATTAAGTTTGATAGTATTTTGCTTCACAGCAATTCTAACTGAAACTATATCTGCATATAAAATACAAAAACAGTTCTTAGGTAAATTCCTGAGAAAAACTAGATGCCCGGGGCTCAGGAATAAAACCACCCCCTCTTGCGTGACAATTCCGCAGTTCTTGGAGACTGGAGACGGGCATGGATGTCTATAAAAGGGTACACCGTGTAGCTAATAGCAGTCCCTGTTCTTTCACTGCACACAGTCTATTTTCTTCCTTCCCTAGTTAAAAGTTCAAATCTAATTTAAAGAGTAGGCTTTCTCTCAGAAACCCAGCTGAAGCCTGAACAAAAACTGAAACGAGGCCTTGCTTGGCATTTTAAAGCTATAATTTGACAAAATTAGTCATTCTTGTTGATGCCCAATGTCACTTTAACCAGATCTTGTGTAACTGGTAGAAGAGAGTTTATAAGGTTCTTCAACATTCTAAATAGCTTTACTCTTAAATCTGGGGGAACAAAATGAGGAGTGAATATTTAATGATGAAAACCAGAGTTTACTTTGCTATTTTGTCTGTGAAAACTTCATTGCCTTCTTAAACTTCTTGGTGACAACAAGCCCTCAGTTTCCTTAACTTTCCTTCTGTAGGGCGAACTTTAAAACTCTTACCTACTAAGAGCTAAATGAATAGAAATCTAATCTCTGATACAAACACTTTTTCTCTCTCTTCTTCCCCCTTAAGTTCTAAACCATCCATTTATTTGAAAAACAAATGTGTATTTAGTGTCATAAGAAAACATAAAGTCTGGTTTTGGCAAATGGTTAATAAAGTAATGTAGGTCATGCCTCACCATGTGAATTGAAGATTATGCATACATAGCAACCACACAACAACAATATACGTAGTGTGTGCATGTGTGTTCGGTTGTGTCCGACTCTTTGAGACCCCATGGGCTGTAGCCCACCAGGGTCCTCTGTCCATGGGATTTTCCCAGGCAAGAACATTGGAGTATGGTTGCCATTTCTTCCTCCAGGGCATCTTCCTGACCCAGGGATCGAACCAGTGTCTCCTGGATTGCAGGTAGATTCTCCACCACTGAGCCACCTGGCAAGCCCCAACATGTACATGTGCTGCGCTGTGCTTAGTCGCCCAGTCACCTTGTGACCCCATGAACTATAGCCCTCTAGGCTCCTCTGTCCACGGGATTCTCCAGGCAAGAATACTCGAGTGGGTTACCATTCCCTTCTCCAGGGGATCTTCCTGACCCAGGTCTCCCACACTGCAGGTGGATTCTTTACCATTTGATCCATCAGGGAAGCCCAAGAATACTGGAGTGGGTAGCCTACCCCTTTTCCAGGGGATCTTCCCCACCCGGGAATTGAATTGGGGGTCTCCTGCATTGCAGGTGGATTCTTTACCAGCTGAGCTGTAAAACTATAATTCAGTTCCTCTTGTCTATTTCATCTATATCAAAAAACATTTTCACCCTAAGAGACCCAGAAATTCCTTTGAAACAAAGTATGAAGGAGAAATTACTCTTATGGGAATTTCACTTGACAACAATAGCAGTGGGTTTTGTTCTCTCACGTTTTGCAGTTACATGATGATTTCCACTTACAGTGCATTTAAAATTTACAGAATAGAGAGTGCTTTACTTTTGGTGAGCTAGCACCCACCCAGGTGCAAGGCCAATGAATTCCATTTCACTTCTCATGGTTGCCTTCCAGTCCCCACAAGCAATCAGTCAGCACTCAAGTTGTTGGCTGTCGATTTTCAAATGCATGATGGCATGTATTCATCATTCTAGCATCATGCAGAGAATTGTCATTGCCCTACAATTCTTTGGGGCTCCACCTATTCATCCGTCCATATCCACAACTCCTTTCACTCACCAATGTGTTCACTGTCTTATTTCCCACAATCTTAGTACAAATAACGCACACATGTTCACTGCCTGAAGGACATCTTGGTTGCTTCCAAATTTGGGTAATTATGAATAGAGCTGTTTCAAACATTCTTTTTTTTCCCCCCAGAAATAATGTTCCATTTATTCACTGAAAAAGAGGGAGATTAGGCCTTCTCGATCAATTTCTTCCAGTCTTTAAACATCCTTGAGCAGTTTGTATAGACATGAGTTTTCAATTCTTTTGGGTAAATACCATGGTGCGTATTTGCTGGATCGGATAGTAAGAGTTTTGTAGGAAACTGCCAAACCGTCTTCCAAAGTGGCTGCTCCATTTTGCATCCCCCCCAGTGAGGAGGCAGAGGCCCATTGCTCACTGAGGCCGTCAGCATTCCAGGTTTGGACAAGTCTAATAGGTGTTGGTGATGGACAAGGTGGCCTGGCATCCTGGGATTCATGGGGTCGGACATGACTGAGCCACTGAACTGAACTGAACTGAATAGGTGTGGAGGTGGAGTGCTGGCTCATTGCTTTAATTTGCGTGTCTCCCTGATGACACGATGTGAAGCATCTTTTCACATACTTGTTTGCCATCTGTATATCTTCTTTGGGGAGGTGTCTAAGAGCTTCGGTCCATTTGTGGGTATTGACGTACCTCCAGCCTTCCCATCAGTCTCATCGTGGTTCCTCTTCATGTCTCTTAGTTGTGGAAAATTCTTAACTTCCCTCTAAGTCTAAAGCTATTCTAAAATTTAAAAGTTTCTTTTTATTTTTTTTTTAAATTTATTTATTTATTTTTTTATCACAACCATAGTGTATCTTTTTTTCTTTCTTTTTTTTTTTTTTACATGTATTCCCCATCCCGGTCCCCCCTCCCACCTCCCTCTCCACCCAATCCCTCTGGGTCTTCCCAGTGCACCAGGCCCGAGCACTTGTCTCATGCACCCAACCTGGGCTGGTGAACTGTTTCACCCTAGATAATATACGTGTTTCAATGCTGTTCTCTTGAAACATCCCACCCTCGCCTTCTCCCAGAGTCCACAAGTCTGTTCTATACATAGGAGTCTCTTTTTCTGTTTTGCACATAGGGTTATCGTTACCATCTTTCTAAATTCCATATATATGTGTTAGTATACTGTAATGGTCTTTATCTTTCTGGCTTACTTCACTCTGTATAATGGGCTCCAGTTTCATCCATCTCATTAGAACTGATTCAAATGAATTCTTTTTAATGGCTGAGTAATATTCCATGGTGTATATGTACCACAGCTTCCTCATCCATTCGTCTGCTGATGGGCATCTAGGTTGCTTCCATGTCCTGGCTATTATAAACAGTGCTGCGATGAACATTGGGCTACACCTGTCTCTTTCAGACCTGGTTTCCTTGGTGTGTATGCCCAGTAGTATGTGATATAAATTTTGGTCATAAAAGTTTCTTTTTAAAAAGTATGAAGTAAAAGACACACAAGAAAGTAAACGAGCGGTTTATAACTGTCGAGTAAATGAACCAATGAATAAATGAATAAAAGGACAAATTAGTAAATGATGGCCAAAAGTAAATTTTAGCTAATGTAACCAGTAGTTTGAAATCATTTTGTGATCAATTTTGTGGCAAATAAAAAGAAAAAATTTTTGCTTATTTAACTGTGTTTTGGGAGCATTAATTAGATAATTTAGGGAAAAAAATATGATTCCTGAGTTTTAAAGATGTTGGAGCTATTATGTTGCAGATTTATGCTTGTTCTTTCAAGACATGATATTAGCTGGGTATTTTTAGCTATGTCAACATGGAGTTTCAATGATATATAAATGCATATGTAATGTATATTTTGTATATGCAAGTTGTGAAGGTTATTATGAAAGTGAAACAGAATTTAAAGTGAGAAAAAGAATTCAACATTGCTGCTGAAGTTAGAACAATGCTGTTTATGAGAGAAGGATCTGACTGACGTTCCTGTGCACGTCTGTTCACATGTAAGGACCACACAGACCCATGACGGGCACTGCTCTCACTTGTGACCTGCCAGAGCCTATGGAGGAGCCAGGGTATTATCTACCCTTCCCATGCCTCATCTGTTAACCGGATGTCATTTCCACTCTCTTTCCTAAGAGTTCATAGTTTAATTTTTTTAAAACTGTTTTGGAGATAGTTTAACATACTTTGATTCAAAGCCAGAGTTTGCAGTTGCAGTATCCAAATGCAGACTCAATTCAGCTGTTCCAGTTTTGAAGGATATTGAAATCCTTTACGATTCTCTGCATCTCCTTCATATCAAATTCCAGTAAATGTTAAGTTTCTCTTTGATTATAAAACTAACCTTTGCTCAAGTGGCAACTCTCAGTTCCTACTCTCCTTGGTCCCACCCCATTAGTCTGGATCCTTCTCACCCCTGTGACCATTATTAAAGCCCCAATAATGTGGTCTTGGGCTTCCCTGGTGCTCGGTGGTAAAGAATCCGCCTGCCAGCGCAGGAGACACAGGTTCGATCCTGGGTTGGGAAGATCCCCTGGAGGAGGAAATGGCAGCCCACTCCAGTGTTCTTGCCCAGAGAGGAGAATCCCATGGACAGAGGAGCCTGGCATCCTACAGTCCATGGGGTCACAGAGTCGGACAAGACTGAGCGACTAACACTAACTAACCAATGTGGTCTTGAAACAAACTCACACACATTCTGACACTGACACCCGCTAGGAGTGGGGTGAGGCTGATGCCCTTGGCGCTGGAATCTGAGCGGGCCTGGGACTCACTTGTCACCAACAGAACATGGCGATCTCCAAGCCTAGACCAGAGGAGGTGCAGCTTCCGCCCCCCTCTACAGACGGAGAGCCTGGGGTCAGCGTGGAAGACGGCTCCCTGTGAGGAAACCAAGCCGGGCCGCCAGCAGCGGCCACGTGTGGTCAGCACGGTGGTCTGTCCCAGGGTCTCAGGGCCCTGCTCCAGCGACAGATGTCAGTGCCCGAAACCGCTGGCAGCTCCCGCCTCAAGTCATTTCATCACTGCCCCAGGCACGCAGACCCCCTGTGGCCCATCCAAATTCCTGGCCCTCAGAGTCCAGCATCATGATAAAATGGTGAGTTTCTGCATCATTAACAGTTACCAAAGTCTGTAATTCCCCAAGCCAGGCTTCAACAATACATGAACTGTGAACTTCCAGATGTTCAAGCTGGATTTGTAAAAGCCAGAGGAACCAGAGAGCAAGTTGCCAACATCTGCTGGATCATCAAAAAAGCAAGAGAGTTCCAGAAAAACATCTACTTCTGCTTTATTGACTATGCCAAAGCCTTTGACCGTGTGGATCACAATAAACTGGAAAATTCTGAAGGATGGGAATACCAGACCACTTGACCTGCCTCTAGAGGAATCTGTATGCAGGTAAGGAGGCAACAGTTAGAACTGGACATGGAACAACAGACTGGTTCCAAATAGGAAAAGGAGTCCGTCAAGGCTGTATATTGTCACCCTGCTTATTTAACTTCTCTGCAGAGTACATCATGAGAAATGCTGGGCTGGATGAAGTACGAGCTGGAATCAAGATTGCTGGGAGAAATATCAATAATCTCAGATATGCAGATGATACCACCCTTATGGCAGAAGGTGAAGAAGAACTAAAGAGCCTCTTGATGAAAGTGAAAGAGGAGAGTGAAAAAGTTGGCTTAAAGCTCAACATTCAGAAAAGAAAGATTATGGCATCCGGTCCCATTACTTCATGGCAAATAGATGGGGAAACAATGGAAACAGTGTCACACTTTATTTTGGGGGGCTCCAAAATCACTGCAGATGGTGACTGCAGCCATGAAATTAAAAGACGCTTGCTCCTTGGAAGAAAAGCTATGACCAATCTAGAGAGCATATTAAAAAGCAGAGACATTACTTTGTCAACAAATGTCCATCTAGGCAAAGCTATGGTTTTTCCAGTAGTCAGGTATGGATGTGAGAGTTGGACCATAAAGAAACCTGAGCACCGAAGAATTGATGCTTCTGAACTGTGGTGTTGAAGAAGATTCTTGAGAGTCCCTTGGACTGCAAGGAGATTCAACCAGTACATCTTAAAGGAGATCAGTCCTGGGTGTTCATTGGAAGGACTGATGTTGAAACTGAAACTACAATACCACCTGATGTGAAGAGCTGATTCATTTGAAAAGACCCTGATGCTGGGAAAGATTAAAGGCGGGAGGAGAAGGGGATGACAGAGATGAGATGGTTGGATGGCATCACTGACTGAATGAACATGAATTTGAGTGAACTCCAGGAGTTTGTGATGGACAAGGAAGCCTGGCGGGCTGCAGTTCCTGGGGTTGCAAAGAGTCGGACACGAATGAGCGACTGAACTGAACTGAGCTGAAAGTCTGTAAATTCCAAGAACATTTTTTTAGTCTCCATCTTGGTCTTTCAGCAACATCCCACAAGGCTAACTCCTTTCCTTTATAGAACACTTTCTTCTTTCAACTTGAGCAAAAATCCATTCTCCAAGTTCTTGTCTCTCTAGCACCTTCTTGAGGTCTATTTCATACATTTTCCTTCTTTATCCAAGTACTATGAGCAAACTGCTTCTGTTGTTACTTTAAACTCTCTTAAATATCTCATCCATGGTTATGTTTCTATGAATCATGTGTATTCCACTGGTGTATTTTCAAGTGATGCCTCCAGTCAAGCCTAATTTCCAGAACTCCAGTCTTACACATTCCAGGATCCAGCAGACATTTCCACGTGGCAGTGGTGAAGCTATTTGAAACTGCACCTGGTAGTGAGCCCCATCTCCACCCCGTGGTTGCCCATGTCAGAATCCCTGCAACCATTCCTACCACCTCCCAATCCCCATCACCCACCACCAACCTATCACCAATTTTTATAAACTCTTCCTCCAAAATATGGCCCAATCCATCAACTTTTCTCCATCTCCACTGCTCTTAATCCAAGCCATCATAATCTTTTGACTGGATGCCTTTAATAGCTTTCTTAATTTTTTAAACTTTTAATTTAATATTTAGGTATAGTTGATTAATAATGTGTTAGTTTCAAGTGCACAAGAAACAGGGTCAGTTATATATATACATGTATCTTTCCTTTTTCAAATTATTTTCCTATAAAGACTATTATATACTATTGAGAAGAGTTCCCTGAGCTATACTGTAAGTCCTTCTTGCTTATCCACTTTGAGTATAACAGTGTATGTATCTTTCTAATACAATTTTTTGTTTTCATTCTTACCTCCCACAAACAGCCAGAATGTTCTCCTTAAAATATACATCTAATTCTGTATCCATCCATTTATAAAATCAGGACATGGTTTTCCATTTTATTTATGATAGAAACCAAAGTTCTTTTCATGGGTTATAAGCCTCTAAGTTGTCTTTAATCTACATTTTTCATTAGCTTAGCATCACTCTTACTTCCTGGGTTCTGACCTTCTTTCTGTTTCTTGAAATAAACACTTTCCCACATCAGAGCCTCTGCCCATGCTGGTCCATCTGTGAGAAGTGTATTACTCCTACATTTCTTCACCAGGAGACTCAACCCAACTGTCTCATGCCAGCCTAAGCACCAGTTCCTCAAGGAAGACTCCTATGACCCGCAGCCCCACACACACCACAAAACTCCCTGGGCTGTAACATGCATCACACCCATCATTTCCCTTCTGCCTCATCTTACTGTGTAATTTTACATTGATTTTGTGATTTTTTTTCTCCCTCTTTAAACTACAGGCTCTATGAGAACAGTGGCTTTTCCTCACAACTGCGATCTCTATACTTATCATCTTTCCTAACACATTTTAGATATTCAGGAGATATTGCTTGAATGGATTGATCCATGACTAAGTCAATAAAACTGGCTACTTGCAGAGCAGCTGGGTTATTAGACTTTCGGATAGCACCCTGCTAGTGCTGAGCACAGCACATCCCAAGACCCAGGGCCTAAATATGAAAGATGGTGTCAGAAGAATCAGAAAGAAATGCGGTAGTAATATAAAAGCTCAAACTGTCTTGTTAAGTTAATATGCCTCATTTGAATATTATTTTTGAAAGTATTTTGCAGAGAAACAACACAAATTATCAAAATTAAATGGACCCTATTGTAAGGACAAATTTTGGTCTGTAAGTCAAATGTGAAATGTATTGACAGAAGACTGACCAAAATGCAATTTATTAAGACATCAAAGCCTTTGAAGAACTGAGTCTCAGGAGTGGAGGTGATGAGAAATATGGAGGTCTTCTGCCCTGGATCAAGGATGGCTCTTTTATAAAGTATCTAAAACTATAAATATTTTACCACCAAAAGGATTAATTTCTGCATCCTCTACTAGTGATTTATCATTAGCTCTCTTTCTACTCCTTACTTCCTGATAATCTTTCTCTAGTTTTATTTTTAAGTTTCCTATTATTTTTTTGTTTGTATCATGTTGACAACATAGTTTTGGAGTCCTGTTCTTTTGATCTGATTTTAAAAAATCTCTGTCACTGAGTTGATAAATTCAATCCATTTCTATTAATCAGAATTACTGTTATATTAGGACAGGTAAGTAATTTTAACATCTCATTTCACATTTTTCATTTACTGTACTTGCCCTTTTATTAATGGTTTCAATGGACAGACTTTTTATCTTGCTTACTAAAAAGCACTGTTCCTTTATTCTGGTGGTTGTACTTAAATGCTCACACTTACATTCATGGACCTCCACAGAATTTTAAACTTATCAATATGTATCTTTCAGTAACACAGATGTTGATATGATCTCAGGGACCTTTGATCACCACTTTCATGCTGGTCATGTTAGATTCAATTCTATATCTAGTTCTATCCTTCCCTCCTTGCCATCATGTCATTATTTATGCATATTTATCTGTGATTTGATCATCTCTATTGCCCACATCTCTTGCAGAATCACTAAGACTATTTGTACTTCTTATTCAAGTCTTTTCTTTCCAGAATGTTGTATTCAGAGTGGCAAACATCCTGAGTCATGGTACATTTAAGAGTATTATTATTATACCCACAATTTAAGTGAAATTTTGACTTTTCATAGGATCTAAATGAAAGTTCTTTCCTTCTGTACTTAAATTTTTTTTTCTTGCATCCAGAGCTTTTGCAGAAATGTTTAATAGACACATAGTTCCTGCTTTTTTAGAAATATTCTTCTCTGGAAATGTTTTAGAATTCTCTATCATTGTTGGCCTTGCATTTCAGTACAATGTGTCCAGGTATATGCTTTTATCAGATGTCCACTGTGTTCACTGATTCCTTCTCATCTATAATTTTCATTATCTCTATTTCTGAAAATATTTTTTCACTTTTCATGTTTTAAAATTTTTTAAACTATTATATAGATGCTGAATAATTACTGAAACCCTCCATATTTTTAGTATTTCTCTTGTGTTTTACATGATTTTCTTCTTTTTGGTGTTTTCTGAGACACTTTCAACATCATCTTCCAGTCCATTAAGTCATTCTTTAATTACATCCATTTTAATTTAATATCTATCATAATTACTCTGTTATTTCACCTCTCAGACTTTTCATACCAATGTTTTTCTTGGATATCCTTATAGTATTTCTTTATCTCTTAAAATACTCTATTTTAAATCCTCTGCCAGTCTGTTCAAACAGTTCTGCTTCTGATTAAATATGTTGTTCAGTATGTTGTCTTTCTCTGTAAATTCATTATCCTTTCCAGATGTCTAATGTCCATTAGCTCCGACTACCAGGTACTCGGGTTAGTGATGTATCATGACATGGAGTAAGAAACGCCCCTTCTAAACCAGCCTCGTGCATTTAAGGAAAGAAGTGAAGATCTGGACAGCGTGGAAACACTGTTGATCCCTTACACTTGCTGTCCTTAAATTTTACCTTTTAAATGCTTATCAAGAAGTAGCTTTGAAGGGAAAAGTTAGATTCTCATTCTAAAGCTAGAAATTTAAAAAAAATTGAGAAGCAAGTGTCTGAGGGGGCTTGTCAATCCACACCTGTTCCTATCACATCCTCATCAGCACTTTCATTAGTAACTGGACAAGAAGAGTTGTTCAGGGCAATTCAAGGAAGATGTCAAAAGCAGAAAACACAAACTTTCCTCCACTCTGGCTTCTCCCTGCTGTCCCTGGCCATTCTGGGCCCCAGACTTCACCTGCCCACAGCGCCAACACACACACACACACACACACACATGCATGCGCGTGCGATTTGCCAGTTCAGGGCAGCCTGCAGCCTTGTGAGGGCACTGCCTGATCTGTGTCCATGGTTCTGCTTCTCCAGTAGCCTTCCCTGGGCTAACAGAGGAGAAGAAAGAAAGCAGCCAGCTCTAATCCATCATCTTGACAGGACCCTGAAATTGCTGATTTTTCCTCTAACCTAGTATTCATGCCCTCCTGTATTGGTTTATATTGGAAACTTTTTTCATGTTAACATGAAAAAATAAGAACATACTCCTATGCTTCAGAGTAGGCAGAGGATTATTCAGCTTATCACATACAATTCCAAACCTTAGCAAAATATCTTTCTTATAAGTGAACCTCATGATATAGATTTAATAGGCAGCCTCTGATGAGGGACAAAATGCTTCTGCCAAAATTTTTGCTTGGATGCATGGTGAACGATCTCTGGATCACCATCTACCCTTCCTCCTGATGCGCTGTATGCTGGGAAGCTGACATCTGTGGACAGAACCAGTGATGCTCCCTTGTCGTCTAATGTCTGGATGAGTCTGGCCAAAGAAGGCATAAGAAAAAAAAAAAAGGCATAAGAAATCAGAGCAGAACTAAGAAAAATGTTTTTTATTTTTTTCTTGGCAGTTGTTGTGTCTATTAAAGGCCTCAGCTCCAACAAGACAAACTACCCTACTGCTACAACTTTTGTTATTCTCACTAACGATTCCTTCCTTGGCCCTCATCCTTGATGTGTTAATAGCCTTCTACTGTTACCCACACTGGATTATGCCAGTTCCATCTTGCGGGTTTCCCTTCACTCTGCCCACAGCTTGCAAACAGTCCATTCACTGAATAGTGTCTTCATCAAGTTAACCACCCTTTTTGAATGTGCCATCTGCTTTTGGCTGGGCAGGCTGGAGAACAGCATCTTTTTATGCCCTCTGTTGCCGTTATCATTTAGTCACTAAGTAGTTTCCAATTATTTGCGACCCCATGGACTGCAGCAGGCCAGGCTTCCTGTCCTTCACTGTCTTCCAGAGTTTGCTCAAACTCATGTCCATTGAGTCAACGATGCCATCCACCCATCTCCTCCTCTGTCACCCGCTTCTCCTTCTGCCTTCAATCTTTCCTAGCATCGGGGTCTTTTCCAATGAGTCAGCCCTTAATGAATATGAATTATGAGAAAATCCTGAAGGAAATCTGCAATGCCAAAATGTATTAAGACAAAAGCTACATGCTTACAGAGAAGCAAATTCAGGTAATAAAGCATTCTCAAAATAACTTACCCAAAATGACAGTGTAAGAAAGGCTTTTAGTCGGTTAGGTTTCAGGTTCACATCTAAGCTAAAAAACCTAGTGACATAAACCTAATATATCTCTTCTACCTTCTCCTGAGATGATTTTTTTTTTTTTTTTAACTTTTGGTAACAATCTCTTTCAGTTCTGCTTTGTACCTTTTCATCTATGATCAAAGGCCCAGAAGCCTACTCCTCAGAGCAGATTTCAGGAATTCCACAACATGTTCAGTTATTTGTTTTCTGTGTTCAGACAATTCTGATAATGACTGCACCTCTCCCATACCCACAGACCGGCCTAAAAAGAAATAAGGCAGTCACATGGGGGAACTGCAGGGCTGCAGGGGGAGGGGGCGGTGGTCACAAAAGTCTGAGAATTCAGAAAGAAAGCATGAGTTTTCCTCTCCCCTCCACACACTGGCCCAGGTAGTGAAGGAAGACACACAGACACCAGCTCACCTCTGAGGGGCGGAGGAGAAACCTCCACGTGCCCGAGGTCGTCAGCATTTCAGACGGTGACCGCACTCAAGGGAAAGAAAGATGGTGGGTGGGGAAATGAGTCAAAAGCAAATGTTTAGAAGGACAAACACAAATTTACAAGAGAAAGTTCTCCTCAGTAATAAACCAAAATGTTCTCCATAACACACCACATACTTCTGAAGTCTTTCTAAAAATGGGTGTTTCTGTACCATGGAAACTGCTTTTTCCTGTCATGTCCTTGTCTTATAAAACTGTAGACAACCCAGAGCCGGCAGGGGTAGGTTTGCTGCAGAGATGAAAACGAGACAGATGTTCCTGTCACCAAGCAGGACCCTACAAGGCCTTCCCAAAACAGACCCCCACCCATATCCCCCCCGGCTTTTTCTCTGCAGAAAAACTTTAGTGAAGAATAGATTCAATCAGAGCAGGGAGAGAATGCAGAAAGAAAGGGAGAGAGTCAAGCAAGGCAAAACAAAGGCCATTAAACAGTCGAGGCCCTTAGTTCCCCCTCAAGGGCAATGGAGAATATTCTGAGCCTTGTCCTTTGAGCTGTTGTGCAGATCCTGAAACCTTCCCCAGTGGAGAAGCTAACTGTCTGCCGCCCACAAGCACGTCGAAGTCAGACCAGTTGGAACCATAAGGTTGACGCGCTGACCCCTGCTTCCCCCATCACCCGGTCAGAAGAGCCCGCGAGCTGACCCGCCCTGCCCCTTGGACACTGCCCCCTCCAGGGCAGGCCACTCAGTCCAGGCCACGAGGCTGCCGGGGCCCCTTTTGCCTGGCAGGGCAATAAAGCTATTTTCTTCTACTTCACCCGAAACTCTGTGTCCATTTCTATTCAGCACGGGTGAACAGAGGCCGAATTTCAGCAACATTTCTCCATAACATTTCAAGGTTGTTTTCCTGCATCTTTGCAGAGATTCCTGGGCCTCTGTGTGGATATGCTTCTGGTGTGGACAGGAGTCAGTGCAAGCGATACAGGAGAGAGAGGAAGGGTGGGGAGGTCGGGAGAACTCCCGACGTGGTAGCAGCCAGGCTGGTCTCACCTCTGGACACACCCGGAGGGGAGCGTGCAGAGCTGCTGAGGTGGACTCAGGGATGTCCAGACGCAGCACTGCTGATTTCCGTTCCATTTCCTCGGTGCAGAAGATATGGCCCGGCGAGATTACCCTCCTCCAAAAGAGCCGGCAGGATTTTTCCGGGATGTTAGTAACAGCCCACAGAAAGGACAGCTGCTCTGAGAATTTCTCTCCACTGTGGACGCTCAGAATAACAGAGAGAGAGACTAGAACCAACAGGAAGGAAAAACACAGAAGAAAATAGTGAGGAGGAAGAAAGGGAGACAGAGAGACGGTGAGGAAGAAGGGGCAGCTCGAGGAAGAGAGGAGTGGGCGCCGCAGGAGGGTCCAGACACGGAGCGCGCCCGACACCGCGGGTGTCTCTGCTACTGCAGGCGCCGACGTGCTCAGCTCAGGACGTGTGATCTGGAGTCTGCACTCAACGTGGCTTTTTTAAAAGTACCTTGGATTTCCAGGGATCCCCCAAATTCCAGAAATGAAAAGCTAAGGAAAATTAGGAAAGCAGTTTTTGTTTCGTGCATCTATGCTCCTCCATTCATCCTGTCTGCCTCTCCCTCCTGATGCAGAGATGGACACGAGGGACGCTGCAGGGTCGCGGCCAGGCACGGGCAGGGGCAGTGGGCCAGGGCCCCCTCGTCTCCGCGGGACCCGCGGGCTCCAGGCAGGGCCTGCCGGGCCCGTTTCCCGAGCGCATCCGCGTCTCAGTACGAAGGTTCGCGTCCCGGGGCGGCCTCGGTCCAGGGCTCACTGGGATGCTGGTCATCTTACCCGAAAGGCAGTAAGCTTCTTTCCTCCCTTTGGTGGGACAGGGAAAGTGTAGAAGTGACCTGAATGTCCTCCTCCAAGACCACAAAGACCATCCTGCCCCAACGGGAAGAGAAGCGTAGAGATACCAAAACTCCCACCTGATACGGAGTTCAAAGGGGCCTCTTTCCTCTCGAGCGCACACCTGAGTGAGACTAATCACACTGTGAGGAAAGGCCACTTTCCAAAGAAACAGTGAGGCAGACTCCTTGCCTCTCGGGGACGCCAGTCAGGGGCCGGTGGGGAAAAGGATGGGAGGGGGTGGAGGCTGGACCTCTGAAGACGCGGCGCCCACGTGAAGCAGACCAGCGCTTCCTGCCTGCCTGCCCTGGATCACAGCTGGTCTGTCCTGTATCCCGATATATTCCGATATTGTATCCTTCCTACATTTGGTGCTCAACTGCCCTTACTTTATGAGATGACTGTGATACGAGACAGGACGTGAGTATGCCCATAGCGTCACTGAAAATCAAGGAGAGGCCACAGTTAGCTGGAGAGAGGAAACTATGGGAAAAGGAAAGGAGAAAAAATCCTCCTGGAGGAAACCACCACCCAAAGATGACCGCCACAAAAGATGAACGCACCGCCCAGAGAAGGACGGTCTCAAGGGCCAAGGGCGGAGCACCGTCGGGGCCCAGGGCTTGCGCCCCACCACCCCCCTGGGGTCAATGGCGGAGGTGCCTCTGGGCACATGCCTCTGAGGGAGGAGGTGACCTGGAGAAGCCTGGCGGTACTCCCAGCTAAAGAAATCGGAGCCAAGCATCGCCTTAGTTAATCATTACATGTAAGGCTTTTCCTCCGTTGTGACAAGGCGTCCCACTGGCAGAAGAGGTAACAGCCGGGAAAGTGGATGCAGGAAAACCAGAAACCTCTGTACCATCTTTGCAACCTTTCAGAAAATATAAAAGTCACCTAAAATAAAAAATTGGTTTTATAGTAGTCATTCTAACAGGTGTGGGATGATATCTCATTATGCTTTGGATCTGCATTTCTCTGATGATTAAAGATGTTGCTCAACTTTCATGTACCTGTTGGCCATCTTTATGTCTTCTTTGGAAAAGCATCTTTAGATCATCTGCTTATTTTTTAATTGAATTGGTTTTTTTTGCTGAGTTGTATGAGTTCTTTATCTTGAATATTAACCCTTATCAGATATATAATTTGTAAATACTTTCATTCAGTTGGTTGACTTTTTACTTTGTTGATGGTTCCTTTGCTGTGAAGAAGCCTTTTAATTTGATATAGTCCCACTTGTTTACTTTGCTAAGACCTATGTCAAAAGCTTACGACTTATGTTTTCTTCTAGGAGTTTTACGGTTTCAGGTTTTACATTCAAGTACTGAATCCTTTTTGCGTTAATTTTTGAGCATGGTGCAATGCAGTTGTCCTATTTCATTCTCGTGCATGTGGCTATCCAGTTTTCCCCATACCCAGTTTTTTTTTTTTTTTTTTTTTTTTTATTTTTTTTATCACAACCATAGTGTTTTTTTTTTTTTTTTTTTTACATGTATTCCCCATCCCGGTCCCCCCTCCCACCTCCCTCTCCACCCAATCCCTCTGGGTCTTCCCAGTGCACCAGGCCCGAGCACTTGTCTCATGTTTGAAAAGGGACCCCTTGTGCACTGTTGTTGGGAATATAAATTAGTGGCTAGTATGGAAAACAGTATGATGGTTCCTCAAAAACTTAAAAAATAGAATTACCATGTGAATCAAGAATTCCACTTTGGAGTATTTATCTGAAGAAAATGGAAACACTAACTTGAAAAGTTATATGCACCCCCATGTTCATTGCAGCATTATTTACATTAGTCAAGATATGGAAACAACCTTAGTGTTCATCAATAGACAAATGGATAAAGAAATCGTGGCATATATACACACACACACACACACACACAGACAATGGAATATTTTTCAGTCATAAAAAGAATGAAAGTTTGCCATGTATGACAAAATGGATGGATCTTGAGGACATTATGCTATTATGCTAAGAGAAATAAGTCAAACTGAGAAAGATAAATACTGTGTAATCTCTCTTACACGTGGAATCTTGAAAAAAAAAAAAAAGCAACCAAAATCATGCATACAGAGAATAGATTGGTGATCACTAGAGGCAGAGGCTGTGGCAGTAAGGGAAAATTATAAAGGTGGTCAAGAGGGTAAAAAAAAAATTTATGATTTAAAAAATCATTCACAACCTGTTCATTGTAAAACTGGAACTTAAGCTTAAAAGTTTCATTGTCTGGAGTAGGTATATCCTCTTTGGGGCCTTTTTTCATAAAGACCCACCAAAAAAAAAAAAAAATTGGTTTTAAAAAATACGTTCCATTTACCCCAATATAATCTTTTTTAAAACTTTATTTATTTTTGTGTTTTTTAAATTATGAAAGTATGATAACACACTTACAGGAGACTTGGAAAATACAGAGCAAAGTTACATACAGTTTTGCTGTATATTACATGTATTTTCTTCAGTAGGTAAGTTAAGATATTTAGTTGGAGCTTCAATATCAAACTCTCAAAAATTAACAGAATGAATAGACAGAAAAGTAGAAAGATATAGTAGACCAGAAAAGTGCTATGAACCAATACAACATAATTAGAGTTTATACAATTTTCACACAACAGCAGGATACAAATTCTACTCAAGTTCCAGCAGACTATAAAGCAGGAGACACTAGAACATACCCAGGGATATAAAACAAGGTGCAAAGTGTTCGTGGTCTACAGATACTGAAATCATGCAGAGTCTGTTATGTTATCACTTGGAATTATGCTAGAAATGAATATCAAAAGATATTTGAAAATAACACAAACATTTTCAAGTGCAATGTGATATTTACTAAGACGGATCTCTGGGCTAGCCGTTGAAAGCCTCAACAGAGGTACAAACAAGTTAGAAGACTGAGATAATGCAGAAGGTGACAGAAGAGAAGAAAGCATTTAAATGAGAAATTAATATCAAAATGAGAAATCTATATCAGATATACTTACAAAGACCCATGCATGGATGTGAAAGTTGGACTATAAAGAAAGCTGAGCACCAAAGAATTGACGTTTTTGAACTGTGGTGTTGGAGAAGACTCTTGAGAGTCCCTTGGTCTGCAAGGAGATCCAACCAGTCCATCCTAAAGAAAATCAGTCCTGAATATTCATTGGAAGGACTGATGCTGAAGCTGAAGCTCCAATACTTTGGCCACCTGCTGTGAAGAACTGATTCATTGGAAAAGCCCATGATGTTGGGAAAGATTGAAGGCAGGAGGAGAAGGAGACGACAGAGGATGAGATGGTTGGATGGCATCACCGACTCAATGGACATGAGTTTGAGTAAACTCCAGGAGTTGGTGATGGACAGGGAGGCCTGGTGTGCTGCAGTCCATGGGGTCGCAAAGAGTCGGACACGACTGAGCAATTGAACTGAACTGATTTGAAAATTAAATGTCTACTTTTAAATGATGGATGGATCTAAGAAGCCATAACAAGGAAAATTAGAAAGTATCTGTAACAGAATAAAAATGAAAAGAGAATTTATCAGAATTTGCTGCATGCAGCTGAAGCTGCTCAATGCAACTAAATGCAAAGTGGAATCCTGAATAAGGTATGAAAACAGATAATGGACACAAGCATACAATTTTGTGAAATTTGAACAAAATCTATACTTTAGTCAATAACAGTGTATCATATGCTAATTTCTTGGTTTTTTTTACAAAGTAGAATTTCTTTATATTCTCAGAATTGTATTAGAAGTTTCAAGTTTTATTCAATTTCTTTTTAAAAATCCCTAAAAGGCTTTCTAGACTTTTAGCAGTAATACTAGATGCCAGAATAAATGGAACTATATCAAATTTTTGAGTGAATATAAATTAGAAATCTAGTGTTCTATTCATCTAATTCAAATAGATGGAACCAAAATATCGTATTTTTTTTAGCTAGGCAAAAATTCATAAATTTCCTAAAATATATATATTATATTACACATAATATTATATATATTTTTTCATTCACTTTTAGTTAAGTAAATATATACATATATATATATATACACACACACACAAAAGTTTTTCTACTATACTTGATAAAGGCTTGAGAAAGAACTACTAAAAAATGGGACAAAGAATTTGGAAAACATAAAGTCAATGAAATGGGAGTACTGAATATGAAATAGAAAAGCTGAAACAAACTAGATAAAAGTAAAAGATCATCATATAGTCCAGTTATTTTTAAACATCATTAGAATAACATCTGGAACT